AAAAAAAAAAAAAAAAAAAAAAAAAAAAAAAAAAAAAAAAAAAAAAAAAATGCATTGATGAAGAATCGATGGCATATTGGTCAGATTCTATACGCGGGCAAAAGACGTAGCCCGCTCGACCAACGACGAGTATACCCCTCCAAGATTTAAGATTATATTTAAGGTGTTAGAGTGAGAGGAGCTTTGGTTAAAGGTAAAGGTAGGGGGAGCTCTTCCTCCACTGCTAGCTTGGTCGGAGAGAGAGTAAAACCGTTTTGCGCATGCGTGAGAATGCTTGGTTGTTAGAAACACTGTTAAGAACTACGAAATAGTAATTATACTCTGCAAGAAATACTAATACGATACGACTGTTACGTAAAAATAATTGGAAAAGATATAATTTAATAATCTTTAACTACAGAATATAGTACTAATTTGTAGATAACAATGACTACGTTGCTTAGATCTTACCAATGTAAGATGGAGTCAAGATGGATACCAATGGAGTGGTTACTCTTGTGTTAACATTGGTATATGTGTGGATGGTGAATTTTTTATTACTCAGCTACTTCTAAAATTTCCCTTATATAAGAACTAATAAAATCGTTAGTAATAATATTGTGATAGTTAATGTCATAACCGCAATGACATAAGAATATATTTTCAAAGTTTTAGAGAAAAATTAAGTTTTACTTACTTCCAAACATAAATCTTAAGGAACGGTGTCAAACACTTGTGCAGCACAATATTTTGCGTAGCAAACAAATGAATGTTTTACAAACTTTTAAAATTTACTAACAAACCATGAATAAATAAAAAAACGTTAGTAGAGGTCGAAAAGGACTAAAAAAACTTTTTTCTAACAAAATAAAAAATTGACTTACTACTTTCTAAAGAATGAAAAGTACAGTAAATGATGTTAATATATTCACCATGAACTTTGGATCAATCAGAAATATTTTCTGAAATATTTTTAAGATTTTTCATTTTAATGTATCAAATAAATTTTAAGGAACCTTGCAACACTTTGTAAAATCTCAAAAAATTGTACTGTAGTTGACACTTTTTATGCCCTCTTCTTGCTTGCCTGCAGGTTTACTTAAAAATATTTTTGCTCCAATAACTTTTCCATTACTGCCGAACCAACAATCCCACAGTGTTAGTACAAGAAGCCTCACTGAAAGCTAACAACTCATATTTATCGAAATATTTTCTGAATTAACTGATGGAGCCAGTGAAAGTTCAACACAAATTTTTGCAAATGCGCTCAGCTCCCAATTCTTTTAACTTTTGAGATTGTTACTAATAACAAAATTTTTAAGTTTACGACGATATCAAAAAGGTTATTGTTAAAGAATGTCTCAATTTAAAAAGAAAACATAATTGTGATGTTTATAAATATAAACAAACATTTCTGTTCAGACCTCTAGGTTATGACAATTACTCGAAAAATAATTTTTTTTTTTTATGAAACATTATTAAACTTACCCAAGTAAAAATGAGGAAAACTTAAAAGCACAGGTGAATCGTATTGACATAATGATGCATTGAAGGTGCCCTCAGGAGCGCAAGGTGGTCCAGAAGGACAAAAGCACTGTTGCGATGGTACTCGATCTGGTGACGAAAAAACATCTGCTGGTGGTACAAATCTAAAGCCAGGTACATCTCCAGAGGTCACAACATCTTGCTAAAATATCGATCAGTCGGTTAAAAAAAAAAAAAATTAAGAGGTGTAGAAAACTATGGAGAATGATCACATACATAGTAACAACGTAATATCTATTTGTTTCTGATTAGAGAAATCAAACGTACATGACAATGGAGAGTGATTTCAGGGAACTTGTTCTTCAAATTGCAAAAAATATATACGTTCATCTCACAGAGTTCTCCATCTCTAAGATTTAGTAGTTTATGGCTCATATCTTATGTACCATATAGCTATGTATGGATGAACCATGTGGTAATTTATTAATCAGAAGATATTGTTTTTTCACTTTTATAAATTTATGTGGGCTTAGTACGTTAAATAAATTTATAATTATTCATTGTAGAACGTTTAAATTACTTTCTACTGTCACGGACTTGACTTCGTTCAGTCAATCCAGCACCCATGTGTTGGCACACTGGTGTACATCTGACGACATAATAATGCATTTAAGAGTGCTACGGAACAAGTTTTGGGGATTCCAGTATTAGCGGAGTCAATAAGCCGGAAAATACTGTAAAATGTGGAAAACCTGCGAAACAGCACCGATTTTCCAAATTCTTGTTTCTACGTATTCTTTATACCCTCAGGAACATTCACCGGCACTGACCCCAGTGCCACGTGCCAAATTGAGGGAGGGGTCGATGTCGAAACCCCCCCCAACTACCTCTCAAAATAAAAAAAATTATAAAAGTAATATTTCGCCCCAGAAATGCCCTACAGTAGGTATTTTTGGCTGCTGATCACGAATCCAAGGTCTTATATTAATAATAGTGCACCTAAGAGCAGTATTTATCTTATGCTTATCCCGAAAGGCCATTTTTTCATAGCTAGCCTTTCATAAGAATGAATCCATTGGTAGCTCTCTTCTCTACTACTTCGCATATTCTGTCGACACAGCTATGTTAACTACTATACCTCTACGAGGACACGTGGCTCACCCTTAAGTTTACATTGGAAGGATGGCGTATTTTGCTCACAAGCGTGTAAAATTTGTGCTGGAGAAAGCTGCAATAACCATAAGACATCTGAAACAAATAACGATGAACTGATTTGTCCCGATGAAATACCAGATGAGGAGATCAGTGACGCTGAAGAAGAATCCATACATAGTACATTCACAGTTTTAGAAATGATTCAGATTACGAGTAATTTGCCTTTTTGTACTTTATGTAGATTTAACTTTTAATTTTTTAATAAAGATTATCTTATGCTTTTATTATTGCCTAAGTACGTGCTGAATTGTAATTATTTATTGTAATAACTAGCTTCCTTTTCCCACCCAATACAGTAAGTTTGAAATATAATAAATGTTGAAATTATCATCATATACTAATACCTTTAGTGCTTGATTATTATTTGTCTCGTAGCACTTTATTTAAAAAATACTGCTGTAAGGGGCACTTTATTTAAAATTGGACCTCAGATTTATGATCAGTGGCCAAAAATCTTCTAGAGGGTATATCTGGGTCGAAATCAGTTTTAAGTTTAAATTCTTTAAGCGGAAAAAAAGGCTTATTGGGACAAAATTGGGACAAATACCGCTGTTTGGTACACTATTATTTAAATTGGACCTCGGATTCGTGATCAGCAGTCAAAAAACCTTCTACAGGGTATGTCTGTGACGAAATATCGATTTTAAATTTTTTAAACCGAAAAAATAGCTTATGGGGATAAATATGGGACAAATACCGCTGTTAGGTACACTATTATTTTGGATTCGTGATCAGTCGTCAAAAATATGTACTAGCGACGATGGCTAGCTACATCCAAAAAAGCTAGCTATACAGAGCTAGCTCTGATATCCAACACTTTCATATGCATGCTGTGCTACAACATTGGCGTTTTTGTGGAGATCTTTATACATACTAAAGATTGGGATTGTTAGTTGGTACATTTAAATGTACTAGCTTGTGTTAAAATTTAACTTTACAAATTTTTATTTTTTTAGGTTTCATAGAGTTTTGGAAATCTGTTCTTTGAAAAGGTTATCTTGAGCCTACAAAATAGTTCTTGTATTTGGCACGCAAAGCCACAATTATCGGTTAAGATTATTTGCCAAAAACACTAACCATTTGTTTTAAACAACTTAAAAGCCTAGTTGAAGTTTGTATATTATTGAAGTATAGAAAAAAAATTACTGGCAAATGATATATTTTACTTGATAAAAATTGGATAATGAATTTTCAAAATATTTGACACATCCATAAAACATTATCAATATTTTTTTGTAATGAATTATCTTTCGCACGTAACGAATGGCAACTTATAGAGACTTACTCAATATGCGTCTTACACAATTCTTGCACACGTGCCCCTTAGCACTTCTTGTGGACGTTTGATGCACTTGTGAGTGCGTTAAAGTGAAAAAATTTATGCAAGTAACTTTATGCAAGTCTTGTGCACGTTTGATTCACTTGCGAGTTCATTAAAGTACTATACATTAGTGCAAGTAACTGAACATATGCCTGACGAACTTTTTGCGCAAGTCCCGTAAGCACGCACCTCTGTACACTTATTTTGCACGTCTGATGCCCTTGCAAGTGCACTTAAATGAAAAAATTATTGCAAGCAACTTTATGCAAGTCTGACGCACTTCTTGCGCAAGTGTCTTGCACATGTACCTAGCAGCAGATTCATGTAATTCTGCGGAACAAACCGAGCATCGTCTTATGCAATTCATTTACTAAACGAAACTTTGCGTAAGAATTGCATAAGAATTGCATTAATTTTGCTAACAGCGTGGCTAAATCTCATATTAATTAAGCATGCTTATTACTCAAAAGCGTCCAGCCAGAGATGTACCTTATACTAAAATTATTCTAGGCAATTAAATGCCTAATTTTTTTACAGGTCTTGAAAGCTCTAAGTGTTAGAGGTACTTTCAATGGCTTGAAAGTTTGTGCAGCTTGAATCTGAATTTGCTTGTTTAAAAGAAAATTATTATATTAAACGTGAGCATCATGTTTATACTGTTGGTTGAAGTGATAAAGATGCAAGCTTATCCATGCACCAGCAAACTCTTGACACCACTGACAACACTGACGTGCTAGTTTACTTCTTGGCAAAGAACTTCAAGCTTTTTTAACAAGCTTTTTGCAATAAAAGATTCCTGAGAGAAATTATCAAAGGCATACTACTTATGTGTAACCATTTAGATGTTGGGCCAGATAAAAGGTAAATGTTTGGTATTGTCTAAGAACACACTCTTGTTGCAAGATTGGTGATTATCTCCAAGTTGCGCTGTTGCACGTGAGTGAATAAAGTATGCCTTTGATAGACGATTTATAAACTGATGAGTTGCAGTAAGGTTGTCTCTATCCCACTCAGTGGTCAAAAGTAAGGCCTTTGCTAGCGCAACACCACGTTAGCAGACCCTCACCACGCCTGTAGCTGACAAGAGCCACAAAAAAAGTACACTGATGTGCAGCCGACTTTCCGAAAGCTTCCTAGTGGTGACCTTGCTGAGTGTGTGAGCCCGCACCTTCCTTGTGCCTGGAAGAAGCGTATCGAGTAAACTGCAGTCTGGTAGGTGCATCGTGCTTACGGTGGTAGATTGAACAATCAACGAGCAGTTAAGCATAATCCTTTGACTTGACGTTCCGTGAGAGACACTCGAATGTACAGAGAATAATACTTTAAAATTCTCCGCCATTTTTGATGTGCCGTATTGGAGAAAAAAGCGTAGCTCACGTGGTGTGTACGAATAAAAAACCAAGCTGTACAGTGCTATGTAATTCATTAAGTACGTTTTGATAATACCTTAGTGTTTATTAAGTGTTACTTTTTAAATAATACAATCACACCGTTGGAAAGCACAAGAATTACGTGGGATGCTGAAAGTACACATGAATGTCCAAGATTTATATTTTCGTGTGTTACACAGTATTATGTTCACAACTTATAGATTGTCTATTTTACTCAGTCTTGCAGCAATCAGCGCATGTTACGCTTTCTCAACGTATACATAAATAATCGTTTGTTATACTTCTAAGTCCTCCTTTGCTGTTGCTGTAATTCCCGGAAACGGCGTGATAAATGACGATCGACGTGTATTCTTTCTCTGCGTATTGGGATTTAGTAGAGAAAGTGAGTAAACTGCTTGTCGACTTTGGCATTTATCTTGGAGCAAACCAATTGTTTTGTTTCTCGTGAGTGCTAACAACTTTTGTTCTCTTTCTCTGTTCTCTTTTTTTTGTTAACCTTCTTCTCGTCTACTCTGCCCTGTATCAGATATATAGCAATAGGATTCGACAATGAGTCGACCCATCTTATGGACAAACTCATACCACCACATCCCAAAAAGCAAAGTGTCACTACAGTTGCTAAACATTGCATAGATGTACAAGGTCAGGCACCAATCAAATAGCGAACACGTCGATATGCCCTTATGGTGCTGCAAATAGCATATGACAAAATCGAGAGACTCAAACAGGAAAACATCATTGGAGAGTCAGAAAACGTGTGAGGCAGCTGTCCATTACTAGTCCCAAAAGCTAATGGAAAATTTCGATTTTGCATCGACTACAGGAAGTTAAATGAGATCACCAAAAAGAATGCATACCTCATGCGCCTGATAGACGATATCCTTGACAAGCTTCGTAAGGCAAAAGTGATTTCAAACATAGACCTTAGCAAAGCTTATCACTAGATACTATTGAGAGATGACCAGGGGTGGCTGAAGGGTTGGGCAAACTGGACACTTACCCAGGGTGCTAGAAAAGTAGGAGTGCCAAGTAAACGACAACGTAAACACTGTAGTATTCTAAAAACCATTTTTTTCAGTTAAAAATAAAAAATGTGAGTATAAAACTTAAACTACCATGATAAACTAATTCACCACTTACATTCTAAAATTTAGTTTACCATATTTTCCTTAGAGTCAGTGATATTTAAGTATCAATAATTAACTATTATCAAATAAATATGATTCATATTCTACTGAAATGTCACACGGTATAACTTAATTTGTTCATTAGTAT